AGATAATACTCCCTACAACTGTAACAACAACTCACCCTTAAGTAACAGATAATACTCCCTACAACTGTAACAACAACTCACCCTTAAGTAACAGACAATACTCCCTACAACTGTAACAACAACTCACCCTTAAGTAACAGATAATACTCCTTACAACTGTACAGCAACTCACTCTTATGTAACAGATAATACTCCCTACAACTGTACAACAACTCACCCTTAAGTAACAGATAATACTCCCTACAACTGTACAGCAACTCACTCTTATGTAACAGATAATACTCCCTACAACTGTACAACAACTCACCCTTAAGTAACAGATAATACTCCCTACAACTGTAACAACAACTCACCCTTAAGTAACAGATAATACTCCCTACAACTGTACAACAACTCACCCTTAAGTAACAGATAATACTCCTTACAATTGTACAACAACTCATTCTTATGTAACAGATAATACTCCTTACAACTGTACAGCAATTCACTCTTATGTAATGGATAATACGCCCTACAACTGTACAACAACTCACCCTTATGTAGCACATAATACTCCCTACAACTGTACAACAACTCACCCTTATGTAGCACATAATACTCCCTACAACTGTACAACAACTCACCCTTAAGTAACATATAATACTTCTTACAACTGTACAGCAACTCACACTTATGTAACAGATAATACTCCCTTACAACTGTACAACAACTCACCCTTAAGTAACACATAATACTTCTTACAACTGTACAGCAACTCACACTTATGTAACAGATAATACTCCCTACAACTGTACAGCAACTCACACTTATGTAACAGATAATACTCCCTACAACTGTACAGCAACTCACCCTTATGTAACGGAGAACTCTATGTCCTCTCAATATAATACTGTATATGTAGCTGAGAATTTATATTTTATTACTTATTTTCTATATTATTTTGACTTGTACCTATACATTTATATAATTATGTCTTATTTGACATCACTCTCTTGCTATCTTTTTTGCTACTTATTTAGAATTTATTATTACCATTTATATCTTTTCTCTTTCTTATTACATTATATTGTGATCTGTGAGCTACTTAGTTCAAATAATTTAAGTTTGTCTAAGTTTAATATAGTCTGAGCTGAAAGGTCCATTTATAACTTTTCTGGTAGAGGGTCCGTGAAATGCTTGTAGATGTTATTGTCTGGAATGTTTCACAGTATGGTATTAAACCTTTCTAGACCAAATCAGACCAAGTTACAGGTCAGATATGGGGAGAATGAATGTTTTTCTAGGTAGTTTTGAGTTATAAAACCACTTGTAATTTAAAAAAAAAAAAAGTAAGGTAGAGCTGTTTAATCTCATACTGTAGAACATTTCAGTCAGATCAATGACATTTCCATAGAAACAAGCAGGTGACTGACCCCTAACCGAAAAGTTATAGTACATCTTTAAAGTAATAAAATGGTTTATACCACTCTTTTGAAGCATTAACATATTGCTGGATTTATGGCTGGACAATAGAACAAAAACATTAGTTACATTTTATTTTGTCTTTACTAAAACAAATAAAAATGGTAAAAGCCCTGTATTTGTCTTTCCCCAGAACAGATGTAGTGTATAAGCAGTTCTTCATAATAGTAATGGATCAGTTTTATGTAGTGCTTTTTTGGACACTCAAAGTCGCTTTACAATTTGGTGCATGATTCATTCACGCTACATTCAGATACTGTTATAGTCTCTCCGACCACCAGCAACACTAACACACCACTTTCATACTAGACAATGTGGTTGAAGTGTCTTGCCTAAGGACACAACAACAGTTTTTGCAGCTGGCGCCCCACTATGGCTCCTGTATTCCCACCACTCTCCCATCCAAGTGCTAACCAGTCAAAATATATCCAACGTGTGCTGTCTGCATCTGAAAGCTTTTTATTTTCCGATAACCAGGAAGTGGAAGTTAGCATGCTAGTTGATGTTCACTTTACCATCACGGCAAAGCTCCTCTCTTGTCTCTGAAAGTTGTGAAAAAAGAGAAAAAAACTACAATGGTTGGAATGTGGAGGAATTACTTTGGACCACTGCAAATCATTTTCAAATTAGTTTTTCATTCTTTTAAGATTGTAAAAATCAGGTACAACAACTTTAATTTCCTGGACATACTTTTACCGACAGGATTGAACTTTTGTGTTAAAAATATCTGTGAATATAATTGATGATTCAAAGATGACAGATATAGTGTGTTTAAATCCACTTAAGGGAATTACATAAGGGAATTACACTGGTTAATTTTAGTTGTTTCATGACAGGGTTCCATAAATAAGGGCCAGAGAATCTCAAACCAGCTTTCCCTCTGCTCTGTGTAGATTTGTGGTTCTGCTAAAGTCTCTCCCTCCTGAGACATGGAGGTAGTGATGAGAATTTAATTCAATCAGGGAGTTGAGATTCTGTGGAAGTTCTGTCAATAGCTTTGTTAATGAAAATGTGGGTGTGTGTATAAGTCTGCAGGGAAGTCCAGCCAACCTTGCTGTACAGATCACAGAGGAGGGGATAGGAATTGTCAAAAGTAATAAAACGCAATGTGCTGTGGTAAATAATATTGCGATTTTTTTTCAAGGTCTTATATTATGCAGAATTGACTCTTGTGAGCTTTAAGCCATGTTAGAATGCTGGAGCTGTGTCTTGTTTCGTTCACACAGTTTGAATAACCTTTTATTGTTAGTCCGGCTACATGTCCCAGGCTCAAAATGCTCTCTTCTACCTTGTGATGTCTTGAAATTAACAGCTACCTTTTAACTTTAGTTCAGTAGAGCTTGATAATTCCAGGGCTGAAATGATCTGAATGATTCTAGTGGTGGTGTATGGAGCATAAAAACATAGAACTTTCTGTATTATGTCATGACATCACAAGGTGGAACAGAGTGATTTCTATTTGAGAGAGAACTCAATGTCAAGGGCGTAGGTTTGCATAGGGACGGTGGGGACATGTCACAACCAATATTTGGGGAAGACAAAATATTCCCTACCAATATTTGCCATTTATTTTAACAAACAAAAATATACATTTATTCTGATATTTTACCAAACTCAATAGTATTAATTTAACATGTTTTAGTTCACCGCTATTTCATTGGCTGTAACAGAGTTATGTCATTAATGGTGCCAGGAGCCTAAACTGGGGAAGCGGCAGGACAGGGCCAGCACCCGAAGATGGCGGCTTGAGCAGGTGTGAGTGAAGACGCTGCACACCAAACTTTGAAAAACTTTTCAAAAGGAACTTACTTGGCTTCATCTTCAGTTAAACTTGCCTTATAATGAGTCACCGCGGAAAAAGAGCGACTATCACCACAAGTGCACCTCTCAAACAGAGACAATATTCCATGGAAAAATGTTTGGACATGACCTCACAAATATCTCAACACCAACAAGCAAAGCAAAATTTGCTACAAACTTCTACATTGCTGTTATTCGCTAAAGAGTCAGCTTAAAAGGGCAATGGACACAAACTGTACATTTTGCGAACTGAAAAATGAAACTACCTGTCACTTAGTTTGGACCAGGCCAGACCCGATGTGTTTTTGGAAAGAATTCATAAAACATGTCTGCAAATTCTTATCCCATTTGACCCTTTCTTATAAAGATGTGCTGTTTGTTTTTTGCAGTGTGCATCATACAAAAAGAAAATAATATTTTGCAATTAATCTGTTTATCAAATAACCTTGAAACCAACCTCAGTTGGATTCATGGGGAGGTTAGCTGATAATGTCCCCACCAAAGCTGGGACCAAACCTACGCCCTTGCTCAATGTAGCCTAAATCTGCAAGGTTTGTGTGTTGCACATGTGTGAATGAGACAAAACACAAGTCCAGGTCTGTTTTTCATGATGAAACAACATTAGAACATAGATCAGAAAATAGCCCATTAATCTACTGCATGCTGGATGACCATAAATAATGTCACCTTAATCTAGTGAAGCGAGGACTGTGTGGAATGGATTAATGTTTTCCTATTTATATGTGAAAAACAGGCTTTTTCCGGTAATTTGAATTTTTGTGAGAGGTTGTGTGTTTTAAAATAGCTTGCTATCCAACCAAGTACCAAGGTATTTCTAATGAGGGACCTGTTCAATGAGGTCAGCATGAAGCAAGAAGGTGTTAGATAAAAATAAATTTGGAGTATCATGAAGAAGTTACTGATATGATACATACCTCAATACACTGAACTTTTGATTTGATACGATTCAATACAATATATTTCAAATCGATTCGACACAGATCAATAAAAATTAAAGGAAAAAACAGGGCTATGATGCTAAAAGTTTTTGTTAAACCACTTCTTATCCAAAGCTAATATGAAACACAAATATTTTAATCATCAGAACAGTGAAAATCGCAGTCCAATGAGGTTCATTTGGTCGATAATTTTGATAATTTCTGTTATTGTTTTTTTGTTTTTTTTTTTTTTTGTTTTTTTTCAGACCAAGGGTTTGTTTTCGTACCTGACAGTTTTGACTGCTCCCTGTGGCCTTCCTCAGGACAACAAACATCGTCTCTGTATTAAAGAGGCAATTGAAATAGGAAAACGTACCCACGGGACTATAAACTGGGACAAGGGGACTTTTTTACTCTTACGCACCTGGGATACTGTCCTGAGGAAGTCGGACTGCAGATGGCACTGTTGTCCTGCCTCCATAGGTGCCTCCACTGTGCTAAAACCTGTATATATTAGCTGACAGGACACACAGTGACATCATGTGATTCTGAGGAAGACCGCTAATGAGCAGTCCAAACTGTCAGGTATGAAAACAAACCCTTGGTCTGAAAAAAGAACCTAATAACATAGAGTTTCCTTCCTCCAAACAAGCAACAAAACTGTGCTGTAACAAAATTATTTAGTAAAATATACAGCAGCCCCCAATATCATCATATCATCATATATCATATACTGTATCATCATATTAAGCAATACAATATATTGTTATTTTGATTGTTGTTCTGTTCTGTCTCCAGGTGGCCATGGTGCCCAATGGCCCTTTCCCCACAGTGGACGTACCTGACCACGCCCACTTCACCATCGGCTCCGTCATCCTCGCCATCGGCATCACGGGCATGGTGGGCAACTTTCTGGTCATATACGCCTTTAGCAGGTGAGACAGTCCAACAGATGTGTGTATAGAATTATGTATAGAGTCTAACCTGCTGCTACTGTATCTGTGTGTGGAGAACTCTTGATCATCATTAGAAGAAGGACTACAACATTAATCAAGATAAATTGAAGGAAACGCATTTAGGAAAGTAGCTATTTTTGAAGTACCATAATTCAGTGTTTCCCACAGATTCGTACTGAGATCACAGTAGCACAATCGTAGACTGTATAAAGTAGTGCACTAAAGGAGTGTGGTTCGTCACCCATAGCATTCGGCTCAACTCAAACACACTTAATGGTAACAAATACGTGATTATGTTCAATAATTGTGTGTAATGAGTCAACACAGGAAGTTGGTGTTTTCCATTTTTATTATTATTTCATGCCACTCCCACTCCACTAGAGATAAATGTATACATTCTTGTTTCTGAGATATTTTTTATTTTATTTATTTATTACTTTTTTTTTCTATGTACTTTCTTCTCCTTGATTGTTAAGTTCACTTTCAATTGATTGTAAATGTTCAAAGTAAATAATCAAACAAACAATCTATGTAAGCGAGTGGTGATAGCAAACTAGTGAGGACAAACTTCTACTGGGAGACACATGGAGGCAGCATGTAGATGAACTCAGACTGGTGATGATCTCTAGGGCAATTTTGTCAGTTACAGGTGCGAAGTGACTCAGCTCTAAGTGTCTGTGGCTGGAGAGCTGTTATTTGCTGTGTGGAATTGATGATTAAATTGATTTTTAATGGCCTGAACCTTGTCATTAAAGAATAATGATGCACCAATAGACTTAGACTTTATTGATCCACAAGGGACATTATTTGGACACAGTAGCTCACAGCATATAATAGCAAAGAGATAAGATACTTGTATTGGATATCAGTGCCGATATTGAAAATTTTGATGGATTGGATATCGGTCCCAAGATATCGGTTTAGTCGATATCCCATTTTTGTATATAAATTGTTCTAATAAGATCATTTACTCACCAATATTGGCTCCCATAACATCCTTGTAATATTGAACTTGTATTTTTTCATAGCTGTTATGTAATTACTTTAAATAACAAAAAATATTTGGATAATTTCTCCTCATGCCATTTGTGTTTAAAGGAAATAATACCGGTCAACAGATTCTTAAAGCCATAGTATAGACATCGGTATCGGAATAGAAAAAGATGGATTGGTGCATCCCTATTAAACAGTACTGCAAACTCACTGCACTTAGATGGGGAAATTAGTTCTAACAGCAGCTCAGCTGGAGGGTTTGTTAATCTGTTTACTGCTGCAAACAGAACAGGAGTTGTTGTTACTGCAATTTCTAAATGTCAGAAAAATACTTCTCTCTTTTTATTAATGTGAAGCACAGGATAATTTTCTCCACAATCAACAAAATATCCTGCCTCATTCTGCATAAAAACAGCTAACCCTGCAGTTTAGATCTGTACAAACATGTTCTGAAATACATGAGTTAGTATATAATTTATACTAATATATATAATTTCATACTTCAGTCATCTACATTCTTTTGGACACGTTTATTGGTTCTGTGACTCTTTTGAGCTTTAAGCCGTGTTATAATGTTATTACCTCATCAAAAACGTACCTGCAGTTGTGTTTTGTGTTGTGTTTAACTAATCCTTTATTATTAGTCTGTCTACATCTCCAAAGCTCAAAATGCTCTGTTACACCTTGTGATGTCATGTAGTTGTAATTTCCAAGTCAACAGCTATCTTTTACCTAGAGATTCCAGGTCTGAAATCATTGATTTTAAATCAATGATTATAGTGAAGGCCTGTGGAGTTTAAAAACACAGTGGTGCACCTGTATTACCAAATAACATCACAAGGTGGAACTGAGCTCACCCTAAGTATGCAGGGCTTGTGTGTTTAACATGTGTGAATGGAACAAATCACAACTCCACACAACATTATATCAACATAAATCAGAAAATAGTGTAATATGGGCCCTATAAAATGTGAACTTTGAACAGAATCATATCAAAACCTTAACTGCAAAAAAGGTTTGTTTGTGAGTGTGGGGAGGACAGGCTGAGGTATGATGACTGGTCTTTCGTAATAGTGCTTTTGTTTGTTTGTAGGAGCCGGAGCCTTCGCACTCCTGCTAACATGTTCATCATTAACCTGGCAATAACAGACCTGCTGATGTGTGTCACCCAGACACCCATCTTCTTCACCACCAGCATGCACAAGAGGTGGATCTTTGGAGAGAAAGGTAACACCCACACAGCTATGCACTTCAGCCACCTCTGAGAATACATCACAGTGCATCACAGGACATTATAAATGGGATCTATTCATGCTTACTGGGAGACGTTTGGAAACATGTGGATGATGACTTCTGGTGTAGTTCCCGACACTGAGCATGTGGTGAAACCATGGATTCAGAGCAGCGGTTTTCACAACCTGCCAAAGCTTTTCATGGGGGAAGGGACTCTAATAACATAATTTCATTGTCACTTACAGGAAGCTGGTTTTAACTGTTGATCTGCCAAACATAACAGAACCTATCAATTGCGTCTTTTTTTTTTTAAAGTTAGTTAGACAAATGATAATGCACAAATTAACAAGGAAATTATAAAAGGAAAAAAGAAAGAATACAATGAAGAGATGCAGAAAACTGGGCCATTTTCTTAGTTTTCCCAGATTTTGTCAGATTTACTATCACCAACAGAGCTTACTGGAAGTTATCATTCGCATTTTTACAAGTTTCTAGTTCTCTGACGTAAGCATGAACAGAGCCCATAGTGATCTACATCAGAAGTCCCCAACCTACAGGGCCATCTGGAACCAGGCCTCAGAGAAAATATTGTGTATCTTCTTTATAAAAAACAAAAAAAGTAAAACTCTTTTTAGTCTACCACTATATTTATTCTGAAAATATGGTGCAAATGAACCTAAATTGAAAGAAAGAGCATACATGATTATTAAGACATTCTTTTCAAACTAAGGTTAAGAGATATAATCATTTTTTTCTGTTATTACTGGCCTTGCCCCCCTCCACTGGTCCCTGAAAAAACTGCATGTTTATTAGCAGTCCATACTAGAAAAACAGGTTGGGGACTGCTGATCTTTCATTAAATATACATTACGTGATACTTACTCTCACCTAATATACTAGTATATCACAAATTCACGGAGGTTGATCAGCAAAATAATGTCTTGAAAATAAAAGATTAAAGATTACACGTACCAATCAACCTAAATACAACTTTCTGTGAGTAAATGGTGAGGGAAATGACTAGAACATGATCTCAAAAGTCAATTTTTTCAGTTAGTCACTCTTATAAAATCCATTTAATATTTTTTATTGAGTTTTCAGACATCTGAAAATTTTTTGTCTGTGCTCGCTAATGTGTGTCACCATGGTAACTAACATTCCGCTAATAGAGAGACATGTAAAACACCCCAGCACGTCAGCAGTCAGTGCAAAGTATCAATAATATTAAACCGTTTTTTTATTCTTCCCTTGTAGCGTGTGAGCTGTACGCATTCTGTGGCGCTCTGTTTGGGATCTGTTCCATGATCACGCTCACAGTGATCGCAGTTGATCGGTACTTTGTCATCACGCGACCTTTGACCTCTATCGGAGTGCTGTCGCGGAAACGGGCCCTCCTCATCCTTATCGCGGCCTGGCTCTACTCTCTGGGCTGGAGTCTGCCTCCCTTCTTTGGCTGGAGTAAGTGCACAAGCAAAAGACTAGCACGGATCTGTGTTAGCAGGCCTGTCACAATAACAAATTTTGAAATATGTTTTGATTGATTACTGAAGTCAATATAGACACTAAATGATAATACTGAAAGTAATTCATGCCCAAAACCCAACAGCAGATTTAAACCACAAGACAGTATTTTTTTTAAAAAGAGCTGCAATAAACAAACTTAAATGAAATACTTCAGTTGAGTTTGAATCTGAAATTAGTTATTAAGAACATTTTATGGCTTAAATCTTACTGTAAAGCCAAAAAATAACAAAAAATTTCTCAGTAGTGCAAAAAAAAAAAAAGTGTACACTGAATAAATATTGGCCCTAAAAATGTTGTTCCAGCTTTCATATATTAAACTATAAGTCAATCTTGTAATTATTGTGATAGACCAGTATGTTAGAATCACATGTGGTGGTGTAGAATCAAAAATACTAGTATGTGTAGGAGCTCAGGAGTTAAAGCCCGTTCAGGTTCCAGAAGAAGATTTTCCATTTTTCCCATAGACTTATGACAAAAAAACTAATATTAATAGTTAAATGGGATTTGAAGTAATGTTTATAATATGCCTGTTTTCAGTTCGAAGACATGTTTAAAACTGAAAATGAGGAGAAGTATTTTAATAACTAAATACAGTTATAGATGTTGATTACCATATAGCTAATTAGCAAACTTACTATTAATGCTCCATATGATTAAGCATGGGACTAAATACAATTAAATTGGAAGACTGAACAAAAGCCTAATGCTGAAAATATAAAATATTTGACTCGTCTAAAAGTTTGCTAAAAGTACCATTTATTTTGATTTATCCTGATTTACAAAAATAAAATTGATTGATGAAAATGTGCTGCTTTGACAGTGGTTTGAAGACTTTTAGGATCTACAGTAGGTTTTATAACCAGACTGGCTAAGCTGTTGCCATTTTTCATGTCAAGGACTATTTAACAAGGAAGAGTGGAAACAGGTCTTCAATCATTCTGATGTTGTAAAATTGGAAAGAAAACTGATTTTACAAGATATTGGTGGTGCAGTGTTAGAGAAACTACATTTCTGTGCTGTGTTGAGGGTGCACACTGCCATTAGAATTTCTCTCATAATGTTATATACCTGGAAACCCCTGCATATTTAGAGTTCTTCTCTCAAACAAAAAACACACATCATTTGGATAATTTCAAACCTGTAGTTTCCAATCTCTACTAAATAAAGGTGAAAGGTAGCTCTTAACTTTGTTAACTCGAAAACTACCATTTCATGACATCATAAGGTGGAACAGAGCATTTTGAGCCTTGGAGATGTAGACAGACTAATAATAGGATTACTCAAACGTGTGTGAATGAAACAAAATGAGGTAACATTATAAAATGGCTTAAGGCTCACGTTGTCTGAAGAAGGGCATGACCCCAAAACGTCACATTGTGGTGTCATTGAAGTTAAAATTTGGGAACTTCAAAGAACTGCAGTGTATATCTGTTTTTGTTTTTGGACCCAGCACGCAATGGCAACTTTTTGGATGAAAAAGGAGACCCGAGGCACTCCGATATACTTTGATTTGATTTTGTTATTATTAATGTGCTTTGACTTGCGTCTTCATGAGGGAATGTAAAATTCACTGGTGTGTGTTGGTGGTATTTAAATGTACAGGTCACATGATGACACGTCACGTGATACAACCATGTAAATATACATTTTTAAACAGACATCTTTAAAAAGGGACAAAGTGATAATAAAAATAATTTGAGCGTGCACCAATCTGGGCACAGGTCAGCCGTAACCTCTACTCTGGACAAAGTGGTGCATGTTCATACATTGAAAATCCAGCAGGACACATTTACAAAAGAATTATACACCAGTGAATAACAGGAGCTGCAAATATGAAAAACTGCAATCCGTGTGTTACAGATGAGATGATAGGTCCATTTCCTCATTTAATCCTGGGGAGGTTGTAGCTCTTTATTCATAGATTTAAAGTCTCAAGTTTTAAAAGGTGCTTTAGTCTATCTCCTCCCCTGAGAGTCTCTGGTACATGCTCAGTTACCATGGCCTTTAAAGAATTCAGGCTACTGTGACCAACCCGTTTGTAGTGTTTTGTTGTAGGATAATCAGTATTTTGAGTATGAATGACATATTTACGCACTGCCAGGTCTTTAAATTTGCGTTTAGTCCTGCCAACATAAAAACAACTGCATTCACACTCCAAAATGTATACAACAAAAGTGGTGTTGCATGTTGCGAAACTTCTTCATTTGTAAAGTCTGTTGGTAAAAGTGTCTTTGAGAGTATTTGTTTTTACCACATCGTTACAGTGATTACAAATGCCACATTTGTATGGCAACTTTTATTGGATGTGCATGTCTCTATGTACCAGTATAAACGTCTGTTTTGTGTAATACAGGACAGTTAAAAAAGATATTCTTGCGTCACATGTGCAGAGACCTGACCTGTGTTTTGTCCTTGTTTTCTCAGGTGCTTACGTGCCCGAAGGCCTGATGACCTCCTGTACTTGGGACTACATGACCTTCACCCCATCTGTGAGAGCCTACACAATGCTACTCTTCATCTTCGTCTTCTTTCTGCCTCTCTTCATCATCATCTACTGTTATTACTTCATCTTCAGGGCCATTCGAACTACTAACCAGTAAGTCTGAATTTGTGCAGCTCACATTTCTTATGCACCAATCAAGCTTTATTCATTTCTGATACCAATCCCAAGACTATAACTTGTAACTATAATCTGCTAATACCAATGCAGAAACTGAAAACATAGTTTATTTTCTTTAAACAATGGGACTTTGAGACTTTCTGGGCCAAACAGATCAGTAAATAGTCCTCAGTGAAGTGAAGAAGTACAAAATTTTGTTACTTAAGTAAAAGTAAAGCTATTGGAGCAAAAAATACTTAAATAAATACTTAAGTAATAGTATTAAATTACCTTTTTAAAAATGCACTTAAAGAATAAAAAGTAAAAGTATTTAAAGTAGAATTTGAGCTCTAATAAAGCTTTGAAAAAGATTTTAAAAAGATTTGTGTTGAATTTTGTTCAACAGAAACAACAGAATCTTTTTTTTTTCTAGATGTTTTTATTTGTATATTTTTCTTTGCTCAAGTTATAAACATGATAAAATAAACCCTTTTCAGCAGGTCTCACACAGTAATAAAAATACTTTTACTTCTCAGCCCTGTTCAAACATGTAGTGCAGTACAAAGTAGAGATACTGCCTCTCAAATGTAGTGAAGTAAGAGTAAAAAGTATCCACTTTAAAATCTACTTAAGTAAAGTACAGATAGCTTTTTTTTTTTTTTTTTTTTACTTAAGTGCAGTATTTTACTACTTTAACTTTGTTGAGTTGCACCACTGATAGCCCTACATCAATTTACTTGTCTAACCACGATATTAGCTGAATGAATATTTTGAAGTTGCTATTCGATGTAGCAAAATTTTCAGTATCAGCGCTGATATGACAAACCAGTATTGTATCGGTGCATCCATAAAAACAGTTGCAGATGTTAAAATAAGATTGTACACACTAACTTCTGTGTTGTTTCAGTGCTGTGGGGAAGATAAATGGCAGCGTGCACAGTTACAGCAGTGGGCGTGACTCAATGAAGAGTTTTCACCGGATGCAGAACGAATGGAAAATGGCCAAAATCGCCCTCATCGTCATCCTGCTCTACGTCATCTCCTGGTCTCCATATTCAGCTGTGGCTCTCACTGCTTTCTCAGGGTAATACATGCAAATGTTTTCTTCAGAAATAATATGTCTTTCAGTATTTAGAATGAAACTATGACATCATTATTTTATGTTTATTTATATTTTGTTCATTGTAAATTGGTCTAAAATGGCTAAAAACTGCATGATGTAACCTTGTGGCAGAAAGTCCTTCACCAGCTTCTCTCCATGTTATTGCTTTTGTCTTGAATGTTTCACAGTATGGCATTAAACCTTTCTATCTTCATGGAGATCAAATCAGACCAAGTTGCAGGTCAGATCTGTGGAGTGGCGACCCCGCTCACAGTCAGAATGCCTGTTTTTTTTTGAGCACATATTGTGGAACATTCCAGGCACAGCAATAACTTTTCCATAGAAACAAGCAGGTGATGGACCCTCCACGAGAAAAGTTACACAATGCACCTTAACACTACAAATAGGTCCAATGAAGTCCTGTTCAAAACTGAATAGGTGACAAGCCTTCACCGCAGTATTTCACTGGAACAAGCAGTAGAATTTTTATTTCTTGTTGATATTGTTGAAGATCTGACATTTCTAACCTTGCAAGCCTGATTAAAAAAAATAAAATACAGAATTAGGCTGAGTTAAGGGTTAGGTGAAACCGAAATTTTGTGAATACTTCTGCTTCAACTTCAGGACAATACAGGATTGCTCAAACGTGCATGTATGAAGTAAGTTAATGAAAGGAGTTATAAACTCATTGTAATGAATAATTAGGATGCTCTGAATGCATGAGGTAAATGAGGAATAAGTTTGGACAGTTTCAAATGAACTAGTTCTGTTTTTCACATTTTTAAAACAGTAAAATTCAGGTACAGCTCTGTTAACTGTGACTCTTCCTTCCTACTTGTGTATATTAAAATATTCTTGACTCTTCTTACAGGTATGCAGATATGCTGACTCCCTATATGAATTCTGTTCCCGCCATTATTGCCAAAGCCTCCGCCATTCACAACCCCATCATCTACGCCATCACCCACCCGAAGTACAGGTAACCCACTCATGAGCGCCCCCTGTCCTTTCACTTTGAACAATCAATCTATCAATCCATCAGTAGTGGAAGTAAAAAATGTAGGTATTTGTACTTTATTTAAGTACAGTGGATACTTTTTACTTTTACTTCAGTACATTTGAGAGCATGTATCTGTACTTTCTATTCCATTATATTAGATCTGGACTGAAATGTAAAAAGTACTTTTCTTTATGAGACCTGCTGAAACGGTGGAGGCTTAAAGTATTTTAGTACATTTTATTTTAATTTCCGTCTCAACTTCGAGCAAACCAAATAAATGAAACACACACACAAAAAAAACAGCAGAAAAAATTAAGAAATCAGTTGAATCACTTAAAATCAGTTATATTCTTTATCAAAATCACAACATTTCACCTTTTAATTGTAAAACTAAATCTCTGTAAAATACTTTTACTTTTTAAAGTACATTTTAAACTGGTATTTCAATAAACTTATTTAGATTTTTTTAATGTGATACTTTTATATGAGTAATCTTTTGCAATGGTATCTGTATTTTACTTACGTAACAAAATAGAGCAAAATCATCCACCACTGCAATTCATTAATAACATCCTGTACACAGGCCTCACTGCACTCCATTAACCTGAATGTAAAACCCCACTAGGGAGAATTTGACTCAGTGAATAAGGTTTAATGTGGGACACTTTAACTAATTTGTTCCTGCTTAAGTAAGCAATAACATGGCTGACTATTGTTTTCGGTGAGGTAAAAACATTCTAAAATGTGTTAAAGGGTCCATTTTGAGCTATTTTCTATGTTATCTATGTTAGATCTATGTTAGAATGTTATTTACTCATCACAAACAGACCTGGAGTTGTGTTTTGTTTCATTCACACGTTTAACACACAAACCCTGCAGATTTAGGCTGTGTTCTTTTCTCAGACTGAAAACTTTCTGATCCACCTTGTGATGTCATGTGGTAATACAGGAAGTGCTCCACTGTTTTTTTAAACTTTGTACACTTTCACTAGAATCATTTGGATTATTTCAGTCCTGGAATTGACCACCTCTATTGAACTAGTTAACTTGAAAACTATGGCTTCATGACATCACAGCATGTGACATGTGTGAATAAAACAAAACACAACTCCAGGTATGTTTCTGAGGAGGTAACAACATTCTAAAAAGACCCTAACCTTTAAGGTTAGGGTCTGATTATGTTTAAGAACAGGATTATGTTAAAGGAAAGAAAAATGGTTAAGGTTAGGAGTAGTTAGGAGAAGTTAACATGTTAGCAGAAGTAACTTTAAAAAACAAAGTAGTCACCCACCTTACTTATCTCAACTTTCACCATAAAATAAAAAATGGAACATTCATGCATGGACACATGTAAGGCTTTTTCACAGCAACAGAGGCTAACACATTACCATGGTAACCAGAGCTTTGCGATCTTTTCTGTCCCTTCGGACCCAACTGCTAGCACAAACTTGTTTTTATTGCTTTGAAAAAACATAGAAGAACATGCATCCTCACTTTGAGCAGGCTTGTATTTCTACAGACCTGACACGTGGAAATGTTGCTCCGTTGGCCACAGTATGGCATTAAACTGATCTATGTACAAGAAGATTTAACTTTCTATTTCCATGGAATCATGCAGGGATGCATCGATATCGCCACTGGTATTGAATAATTGTCCACTTTGCAGTTTCATTGGAACCAGTTCCATTATATCACTTAGGCCAATATCCTGGTTGGACTTTACTTTGATGTAATAAGACTATTCACAGTCTGATTTTAGCCTACAACGTATTATAATGTTTTGTTGTTTTGTTTGTTTTTTTTGGTTGTTTGCTTTGTCTTCAGAAATGTGTTTAAGGCAGTAAATGTCTTAGTTGAAATTCAAGTATCAACAAATACAAATACTTTCTTAGAAAAACTTCAGAATGTCAGTATTATCTTGTAGACCAGCGTTTCTCAAACTGTGGTACGTGATCTTCTTCAGGCGGTACACATATTCCTCTCCAGGTCAGACATTTGTTGAATTTTGATTCTATTTAATCCACATTTTTGTCCTCCTTTGGGTTAGTACTTGTTTAGAAATAGTACAACAACTGTATATTCCTATTTTGGGCTTGGTTTAGCTGTAGTTTAGACCTACAATTGCCCTGTTATAGATCTGGTTTAGATCTAGTGGTACTTCGAAGGCTAAATATTTTCTTAGGTGGTACTTAGTGAGAAACGTTCGAGAAACAGATGTGGAGTGAAACTGTCAAAGTGTCTGCCAATCCCAAAGTCGATCTGACAGATAGTCTTAGTCAACAGAGTTTGACTAGGCTAATCCCATTTAAGGCCTGGGAGGGACTTGAGCCCACTTTAATTCTCTGGATTTTAACACTGTGTGAATTGTGTGGTCCTCTGCATTTAATTAATTTATTTTACCTATTTATTGCTATTTTATGATATCATGGTTTTGCTTTTAATTATTCTATATTGTATATATAATATAATATAATATAATATATATATTATCCAAAATTCTTGTGAGTTTTAAGTCATGTTATAATGTTATCTCCTCAGAAACATACCTGAAGTTGTTTTGTTTCATTTACACATTTGAGTAACTCTTTCTTATTAGTCTGTGTACATCTCCAATGCTCAAAATGCTCTGTTCCACCTTGTGATGTCATGAGGTGGTAGTTTTCAAGTTAACAGCTACGAGCTATCTTAACAGCTTTTGTTCATTAGAGATCCAGGTCTGAAATTATTAATTCAAGTGAAGGTGTATGGAGTTTAAAACATAGGGGAGCACTTCGGGTATTACCACATGACGTCACAAGGAGGAACAAAGTGTTTTCTGTTTGAGAGAAAAAGTCTAAAGCATAAATATACCGGGTTTGTGTGAAATAAGGGGTATTTTTCTCAGGGGCACCTTCACATTCTCATTAGAGGCTGTGATGGAGTCCACTGCTCTGAGTCAGACTGTGAGATTACTGGGGATACCTGGAGCTCTTCTGTGCAAACATTTATACATCAGTTTTAAAAGACAAAACCTAAGGAAAAGCTAAGAAAATGTCATCTCAGGCTAACAGATTTCTTATAATATTTTGATTGCCCTTTTTCTAAATCATTCTCAGTGGCTTCGTTGTAGATGCTGTTGTCTTTTACTAACAGATGACACAAGGATTAGTAAGATCAAACTGAGCAATTTTGCTGTTGTCTTTTATGGTCTCTGTGCTGCATTTTGTTCATAAAATTTACTATAATAATGAGGGGGTTCTCCATGTATGTCTGTGGTGGAATGTTCAGCAGTTTCCATGGTGACACAAGCACATGCACATGCACAGCCCCAAAAAAGTCTTTAAACTCAAGGAAGTTAACAAAATGGATTTAAACAACATATTTTCAGGCTCAATCACCAAGTGTCAGAGTCAGATCAATATATCAGGTGTTTAGGATGAGACTGTGTTAAAATAAAGATCAGATGAAAGTCTAACTTGAGTAACATAACTTTAGACAGAACAGTGTCTCTAGTTAGCTCCAAACCATCAAGGAATGTTGGTGGCATCAGCTGCAAAGTATCAGTAAATATAGTGGATTTTTGGATTTGCACGAAGTAAAGCCTAAAGCCCTGGATGTCAGTGCTGAATTTTATCCATGTATTTAGACCTGTCACGATAAAACATTTTGAAGTGTGATATTTAGCTGAAGTAAACATAGAAGATAAGTGATAATACTGAAACTAATTTATGCCACTGACACAAAAACCCAAGAGCAGATTTAAACCACAAAAACTCTTCTAAATCTACAACATTAGTAAAAAATACTTTGTTTGCATCTGTAATGAGTCATGCAAGTTATTAATTCAACCTTTTACATTTTAAATCTTATCATATTGTCACAAGGAGATGATCAGAATAAGACTCAAAATGCAAAAGTTATAAATAATATTTTTTTTATTGACAAAATAGCACCAGTGATGAAAAAACAGATGACAGGACAATGACAATGCACCAACAAAAGACATTGGAAACATGAGGCTAAAATATACCTCAAACAAGGAATAAGTGAATCACACAGGATACATGCCAAATTAAAACTAAAAGGAATAAGACACACCAAAATATGTAAACTAATGAAGACAAAACACAAACCATGACACATATAGCCAAAAAGTAACAAAACATTTCCCATTAATTTAAGAAAATGTGCACACAATAAATAAATATTGGCCACAAACGGTATAGCTCAAACTTTTATATATTGTCAATTATCGTGACAGGCCTGCGTGTATCTCCCTGTGTGTGTACAGAATAGCCCTGGCGAAGTACATCCCGTTCCTGGGGACTCTGCTCTGTGTGCATCCTCGTGACCTGCGCTCCGCCAGCAGCAGCTTCATCTCCACACGGCGCTCCACTGTGACCAGTCAGACTTCAGACAACAGCTCCCACCTGAGGAGACAGAGCACCGCCAAGTCCCGCCTCTCCTCCGTCTCAGACAGTGAATCGGTAACAACTGAGTAATTACACTTGTATACTGTGCGAGAGCTTGATTGAGGTTGGTTGGTTTTTCGTGGGCAATGCCAGGTACTTACTGCTTATTTTGTTACTATCATAAACAATAAATTGTATGCCTTCTTTATCATTATTATTAGTTTATACGACCATAAATGAAACAAAAAATATCCTTAAATTTTTTTATTCTTATTGCGATTTATTTTGTACGATCATAAACAATAAACTTCTGTGCCTTCTTTATCATTATTATTAGTTTGTACGACCATAATACACTACAATACAAGAAAAAAGAAAGGAATTGGATTATATTTCGTATGCATAGTTGCATAGTTTTCTTCTTCCCGCTCCTTTTCGAGAAATCTGCTTTTCTGTTGTTTATAATGTAGATCTAGTATGTATATAATTATTGTTTCTCTCTTGGCACAAACTCGAAATAAAAACGAATCAAATCAAATATTTTTGATAATTTTCGACAAATTCTGTAATTTAAAGGTGCACTGCGCAACTTTTCTGATGGAATGTTCGTCACCTACTTGGAGATGTCATTGCTTTGCCCGGAATGTTCCATGGTATGACTTTAAACGCATCTATCTAGCATTTTTTCATTATCTGTGCTTCTGCTACTCAAAAATACAATAAGTCTCTCTGTGAATGGGGCGACTCTCCACAGCTCTTACCTGTAATGTAGTCTATAGTTGTCTCCCTTGAGATAGATACTGTACGTTTAATGTCTATCGTGGAACTTTCTTGACAAAGCAATAACATCTTCTTGGAGACAAGCAGGTGAGGGATCCTCCACGAGAAAAGTTGCGTAATGCACCTTTAATTTTACTGTAAATTCACCAAGCGCAAACTTACACAAGACCTATAGTCAGGTTTTGAGCAATTATCTCTCTGCACAGCTAAAGCTTTATGTGTATACTTTAGGCAGCAGGTTGGTCAAAACAAAATATCGGCATATGCTGGGGATTTAAGGACAACAGCCAATATGTTAAAAAGTGCAATTATTGACCAACCAGTATATCGTCTATATCTAATTTTAAGTTCATAATTCCAATAAAATAATGGGTCCAAACTAGGCCCAATTTAAGTAATATTTGTAGCGAACACAAGCCTCCCAGGTTCCTGATGATGTGAAAAGTGTGGAAACACAGAGGCAGGTCAGGTGAATTTTAAGCAGGGAATTTTATCACCAGTCAGGATTCAGGAAATTTGTCTTGAACTGAGAGCTACATAATCTGCAGATAAGAAAAAGGCAATCTCTTCAAACTGAAACTCATCTGGTTCCATCACATTCAACAGTTTTTCTCCAATTCTCCAACTGTTACTGTGTGTCTGTTGTTGTGGTTCAGGGTATGACGGACACTGAGGCGGATCTGTCCAGTCTGAGCTCCAGACCGGCCAGTCGACAGGTGTCATGTGACATCAGCAGAGACACAGTCGAGAACGCCGACTTCAAACCCTCCTCCAGCTTCAAGATTAAGAGCCACGACTCTGGGATCTTTGAAAAGGTACCATCCATCTCCATCTAATCCACTTCTATTAAAGCCCTACTGTGTAACATTTACTGTGCAAAAATATATCATTAAACAAAATTTGATGATATCATACTGTGCGCTGCTGTGTCATTATATTGCCAAGATATCACCATGTTTGTGTTTTTAAATAACATAAAGAAAACAATGTATTAACATTTTGACTCCACCCCACTCTCCCTTTGCTCTCCGCACTAAGGCCCCATCCACACTAGTACATATACGAGTCGTTCTCATTGTGGATGTAGTGTTCGTTCACACTAATCCAATGGAAAAGGGCTCCAGAGACGGAACGATCTGGTGTCACCAACTCCCACGAATTCAATTGAGTACGGATCTGATCTGGCACTGTGTGGACGCCTGAAAACGTTGATAGGCTGACGTAGGAGCTCTAGTTGCTGTCCTTATTGGACCATGTCACTGTGACTTGTGCCTTCCTGATTCGCTGGGTTTGTGACATCGGTCATTGACACTATTGTGGAAAACAGTTTAAACAAACCACAGAAAAATGGGAAACAGCATAGCTAGGACTATTTGCTAGCACACGATCCACGAAAAGACTGTTTGCCATCTACCTCGGCTCGTAATCAGTTGCTTCAACTTCAGACGCAGTTAGCATAACACCCCTCTGTTACAGAAAAAACACTCATATTCCATTTTGTATCATGCTTTTGTATACTTATGGAAAATTGTTGTGTGGGAGCAGGGGTGATAGAACCTTACAGCTAACCATAAGGAGGGTTCACAAGATTACTTAAACATGCATGAATGACATACAAAACCACTCTAGGCTTGTCCTTGACGAGGGAAGAACATTATACCATGGTAGAAAGCTCCAAAGCACACCCTCTTTAGTAATTTTACCATTTTAGATAGTGCTGCTGTTTCTCTCCACTGAAGTTCCGTTCTGTTTTGTAAAATGACAATAACTCTAATCTAATCTCTAATCTGTCATTCATTCCTTTGATGCTAAATTCTGAAAACATTCTGAAAGCTAATGAAGACAAATGGTCCTCTCCCTCCCTGTCCACTGAGGCTCAGAGTCTAATTCAGGAGCGTGAATCTCTGTGCTGGCATTTGATGTGACAGATAATACAAAGAACGCAGAGGAGCCTGTGTCTGTGGCTCATTAGACTAACTGCCTTTGTCATCCTTACAGACATCCTATGACACTGACTTCTCTATGGGAGGCCTGAGCGAGCGCAGCACCATCCCCACTGTGAGTATTATCGTCATCCAACAGGATTCATTTATGTGCAGATATCAACCACCAGGGGGAGTCTGTCAGAACATAGACACATGAGGTTCTGGAAGTTTTCACACTGTTATCTTTATTATTACTGGCTGTTGAAGTGTCAGTATGCCGATGTGGGTGGCTGGTTTATGAATATTTTTTACAATAACTGGACTTATCTACATAAAACAAAACTAAAGATGTCAAGCCTACTCTAGCAACCTGTGTCTGGCACCAGTTAGATCCACAAGCAACAATGGAGGGACCTCCAACCCCCCCAAAACATGTCCTTTGGTCATCTACATTTACGTGAAACATGTACATGTCAAGACTTAAATTATAGTTATAGTATACTTTTAAATAATCAGTTTAAACTTTGAAGTAAGTACATTATGTAATTTTGTAATAAAAATATGACAATTATTATTAGAATGTCCTATGTTATATTTAAAGAGGGGGAAGATAACATTTACTTTTTGGAGCTTTCTACCATGTTATAATCATCAAAAACATGTATTTAGCGACCTCTCCTGGGCCCTATTCAAACCTTACGGTCCTTACGGTTAGCTGTACCAATGCTCTGCCCATAAGCCTATGTCACCCATGCTTCCACAGGGCCATTTTTCATAAATATACAAAAGCATAATACAAAACAATACACAACTTCACAGACCTGATGCAATGTGCAGTACCTTATTTTTCGGAATATAAGTCGCTCTTAAAACCCTTTAATTGTCTCAGAAATCGTCAGTGCACCTTATAATCCCGTGTGCCTTATGTATAAATTCTGGTTGTTCTTACCAACTTTAAACCAATTTTATATGGCACATGTCGCTCAAAGATCTGTCAAAATATTTTAGTACGACTTTGGTAAACTACGAAGCCGTACCACTTGATGGATTGTCGGAGCATTACGGCTACCGTAGTCAGGAGACTCGCGGAATAAAGGACGAAGTATAGTTCTGCTTTGGCATTTATGACATCAGTGAAATGCTACATATATATATTAGAGCCCGACCAATATGGATTTTGCTGTGGCCGATATGAAACCTATATAATGGGAGTTGGAGCTGCCAATAGCCGATATATTATCACCGATATATTTAGTGATGTAAAAATTCACTGTAAATGTTGAATTGTTTAAAAAACTTAGGTTTGGCTCTGGTGGATTTTAGATTGGGTTTATTTAGGCAACATTTATTGTTATTCTGCCTCTTTACATCATATTTACAGACAGTAGGTTGGCTTAATGGCATTTTTGCATCACATTCTAGACACTAGTGATGGTATTCCAGTTCTTTTTAGAGAACCGGCTCTTTTGGCTCGGCTCACTAAAAGCTGTTGGTTCTTTTGGCTCCCAAGCGGCTCTTCAGATTGTTTTGTTGCAAGCAGGTCTAAAGCACGTCTAAAGCAGGACTGAATCAGGACTGAACCAGGTCTAAACCAGGACTGAAAAAGGACTAAACCAGGACTAAAACAGATCTAGACCATGTGTAAAACAGGACTAAACCAAAACTGAACCAGGACTAAGTGTCGGGACTCGGTCTCTATCTCATGCCCAAGATTAGTCCTGGTTTATTTATTTTATGATAAACTACAGCCAAATATGCTCGTTTTTTTTTGTTTTTTGTTTTTTTTTATCCTATGTACACGCAAATTTCTCAAAGTTTCGTTTTCAGCCGCTGTCAAACTACCACGAGTCCGCACGCGGCGTGAAGAGAAAAAAAGTGAGAGAAAGAGAAAACACGGCTCCTAATAAGGATCAGGCTCCCATCGTTCGCTTCAAAGAGCCGGCTCTGAGAGCTATTTCGTTCGCGACGGACCCATAACTAGTAAAGAAAGTAGCGCTATTAGCCTTTAGCCGTAAATGCGTGCGCGCCACGGTAATTAATTATATGCGCAAATGTCATAAGTCACACGTCTATTCACAGCTCATTTGCATATCAATGCAGGTCCAGTAACAAATATATGGCCAATATATTCACTTTACAATAGGCCAATAGAAAACAGCCTGTTTATGTGCGGGAGCTACAGCAGCTAACCCATAACGAATGACCAAAACTAGCTTCAAAGTCGACATATTTCCAACACTTACCGCTCACACAGGCTCCTCCTCACATCACAAGTCTGCACTAATAAAAGTCCTTTTAATCCAGACTCAAACCGATTGTCCGTAAAAAGAATATAATCTCAGTGTTTGGATCTATGTCTGCGGGGGTAAACAAACACACGTGAGTGACGTGACTCTGGGGGTGTGTTCAGGGACAGTACGGACACACACAGACAAATGACTCCGCAGATAAATACTGATGTGGAGCCACATATTAGGACATTTATCTGTCTGTAAATTGGATTAAATGAACAGAATGTAGAGAGTCTAAGATTTATAACGACGTGTCACATGCCCACGTGAAATATCGGCCCCTATCAGCAAGCATATCTGCTGATAGCTGATATGCCTCCAGGTGCCCATATCAACCGATATATCGGTCAGGCTCTAATGTATGTGTGTATATATATATATATATATATGTGTGTGTATATATATATATATATATGTGTGTATATATATAATATATATATATATATATATATATATATATATATATATATATATATATATATATATATATATATATATGCATATGACCTGCAGAGTTACAATCTCTCCATTGCGATAGAATTCGTGTCCTTTTGTCCGACAGAAGTTGACTGCAGCAGTGCACAAGGAGCTAGCTGTTTTTTTTTCAGTGCTTATAATTTATGCAAATTAAGAATGTTGTTTTAAGTTTAATTTTTGTAAAATGTAAACAAATGCACGCAAAGCTGCATTAAACATGTTATTACTCAAACTATATTTGAGTCCTCCTCATAGGAATTAAAAACTTTATTATCCACCCACATTAAAGGTTGTATAGAGGATTTTCCAAGGAACGAGAAATCCAGCGACTGTTTGTCCTTTTTCAAATGTTGCGCATGCGTGAAACCACCCCCCTCCCCCACAGCTCCCTACGTAGAAACGCCTCCTCCCTCCTCCTCCTTACGCCAGAAACAGGTTTGTTTCTAGAAAACAAGTACTCATCGCTGCACATGACTTGTAAACAACTAACTACAGTGTTGGTTAGGCAAGGTGGAGAAATGAGGAGCGGGGGGAGGGGGTGCGCGGACATTTCGTGCGCGGACAAGAAGTGAGGAGCAGCGGGAAGAGCGGAACGGGGAGCGAGGAGAGAGGAGAGGGGAGCGGTGCGCGGAGATTCCGTGCGGGGAGATTCCGTGCGCGGAGAGGTGATGAGCAGGGAGAAGAGCAAAACGGGGAGCGGGGAGAGGAGCAGTAAGGGGTGCAGAGAGGGGTGCGCGAAGATTCAGTGCGAATGAAGCTACTACTACAACACGCAGCTGCAAGCGGACTCTTTCTTTGCATTGAAAATTACGTTTTCAGACATAGGATATCGCATTCGTGTCTTGAAAAATGTTTGTCTAGCTCTTGGAAATAAAGTAGGTTTTCATAATAAGCAGAAGTTTCCTGTCCAGAAGTAATTTGGCGACCAGTGCGTCAGTCTTTAGACCCTTTGTCTGCTTTGTCGCGCCACTGCTGGAATGAATCTATAAGAATCACTATATGTTTCGCTTAGTGCGCCTTATAATCTGATGTGCCTTATGTATGAAAATAGATGAGACAATTCAACACTATTGATATTGAGCCTTATAATCCGCTGTGCCTTATAGTCTGAAAAATACTGTAGTTTAATTGGAATGCACATTGACTGTGTTGTAATAGTGCTCTGAAGGGCGCATTACTTTGCGTGTGTTATGTGTTAGCAATTAATAACCCAAAAAATTGTAATACCCCCTCTTTAAATAATGACATTAAAATAAATTACTTTTCAACTGTAACTGTTATAATCAGCATAAACAAGAAATTGTAGCCAGTTTATGTTAGCTGATTTTTAAAAACTAATTGGAGGCACAAATACTCCAGGTTTATCTTTAGATTTTCAGTCTAATGTGCTGTATAACATTTTGTCTGACAGAATGGTGATTTTGCAGATGTACCCGTAACAAGAAGAACCATTGGTCGGATCCCAAGCATCCTCATAACGACAGAATCCTTTATTCCCATTGGACGAACCAGCTCACAAACTGCCAAATCCAGGAGCCCCAAGAGCACTGGGTCTGGATAGTGCTTCACTGTGCTCACACGTTTACATGATGAAATATTTGAGTTTAGATTTAGAATTAGAATACTGGTTTTGCAAAAGATGGCTGGTGTTAAATATGTGTTACACCAAATACACCAAATAATCTTTATTTTGATGTTCAAAATAAAAAATCATGTTTATAATGTAGTTTTTCTGTGGGGCAGGTTCCTGAACAGATATTAAGTTAGAAAGACATAGGTGATTGTGTGGTATTGAATAGGGATGCACTGACCCAGCTTCTGATACCGATTCTGATACTTTCACTTTAAGTATCTGCGGATAACCAATATTAACCAATACCAATGCAGAGTCTGAAAAAAGCATTAAAGGCCCACCGTGAAACATTTCTAGTGGAGGGTCCACCACCTGCTTATCTCCATGGAAATGTTATCTAGAATGTGCGACACTATAGATTAAACCTATCTATCACAAGGGAGACAAACAGGTTACAGCCAGAGGCGGTGCTATCATTAGGCAAAAGTAGGCAGCCGCCTAGGGCCCTCAAACCTGGAGGGGCCCCGCAACCAATTGCCCTCAGTGCCACTAATAGCCAAGGCCTCAGAGCAATTTGATTTTCTCTCAGTATGGCATTAAATGAGAATAGTTTTAAAAAGGAAAACACTATCAAAATAGTATCTGATTGTCAAATCTATTTAACTGTCATCTCCCCTTGGTGATCTAGTAAGCTGCCTAATTAATCAGACAAGTTTCAGAAAAATAGAGATGTGTGTGTCTCAAGAAGAATGGGGGGGGGGCAGCATTATAATGAGGGCCCAAAACTCACGTTCGCCTAAGGCCCCCAAACTGCTAACTCCACCACTGGATACAGCACTACGCTACATTACAATTCAGATCAGTGGAGAGTCGCCCCTATCACAGAAGGAATTACTGTATTTTTCACCAATAGAAACACCCATAATCAATAAATAATAGACGGATATGTTTAATGTCATATTATGGAGCATTCCAGGAGACAAATAGGTAGCGGAACCTCCACCAGAAAAGTTGAGCAGTGCACTTTTAAAAGCAAAAATAAAGTAAGACAAAACTGCTCTGAATGTGTGATGTAGCTGTTATTTATTTCTAAAGCAACTACAGAACACCTGTGTACAACAAAAAGTTCAAATCATATGAGACTTTCTGGTCCAATTATGGCCAGTAAATAGTCTTATTACATCAATGTATATGTCCAACCAGGATATTGACTGAACTGATTTGGAAGCCAATATCCGATCCAGCTCTTTTTCCAGTATCTGCGAAAAATCTGATACCGGTATCAGATCAGTGCATCCCTAGTGAACATAAAACGAGAGTGTAACTTTGTACTTTCTGAACCTTCTTCAGTCTCAGTGTTGTTTTGTGATTTTATAATGGACACAATATTTGTTAATGCGACGGTCCAAACAGCTACTCGCTCACCTTTTTCAATTATTGGAAAAAATGTATTGGTCATTTTTTATTGGCTATATAATTCTTCTAACTAAAAAAAATCATATATAACCATATTATGAGCAGCCTGCCTCCTGCTTAAAGCCTGAGGGTGAGAGAAGCACCTTTGTTTTCCCACAGCCTTGTAATGACGTTGTTTATTCTGTGCATTGCTGTATGTGGATTAACTTTTTGTTTGTATTCTTTCCTATTTATCTCCTAAAATACTTTCATGTGTGTTTATGGTGTAATGTGGAATGTGGCATTGAGTTTGTTGTTGTTGAGTGTAAAGGGATCTTGGTTTCGGAAATGGCAGACTTGAGTTTTAAACCTATTTAAATCAATTCTTTGTAGTTTGATGGAATAGGAATGCCTTACTGGTGCTATATTTAACATTTATGTAGCCTATAGACCTCTACACTGAGTGAGAGAGATTAACAAAACCATGCTTGTTATTGTTAACTACAACAACATAGGCTACTCACTGTCCGTTTTCATGTCTGTAATGTGGAAGGGAAGACTGTCTGGGGAAATCGCAGAAATATTATTCCTTTAAATGTTGTTTGTTATATTTATTTTTTACAAATAAACATCATTCAGGTGTTTTGGCTCCTGTGTTCTTAGAAGAAGTTTGAAATAATTTAGAGATTTGTTGCCAGATACCAGGGGACTGGATATTAAACACAGGCTATTTGAAGCAGAGGACCACATGACCAGTGGTGAATACAGTGAATCACTCAGGTGAGCATTTAACAGAATGTAGACATAGAACTACCCTGCCTTTAATGTTTTTCATTGAACTTTGCACTGTGAAGTGGTACTGTCTATTCTTATGGGCCAGCATGGCCAAGGGCCAATAAAAATGAGCCTGTGGGCTGCATTTGGCCGCGGGCCACATGACCTGGAATGGGGTCATATACACTCTATGAATGGATCTTACAGAGATGAGTTGGCTGGGCCTATAAAACATTGGGCCCGGCAAAAGAACATTAGATTCCTCTTGGAGTACTGTCTCTTTAAAAAAGCCCTTCTAATGAAAATCCCCACTAACACCCTCGGGTGCCCTGCTCCACCTACGCTTCAGGCTCGGGCCGAGCCGGGGACTGGAGCTGCATCCCCGGAGCGCGGAGCTGGTGTTTGCCCCCCGGTCAGCGGTCCCGGGTCCGAGGTCAGGTACAGTACATTACACACAGTTTCCCGCCTCGGTCTCTTTCATTAAGCTAGTTAGTGCGTCATGCGTCATTAGCATGTTTCTGAGCGCGAGCAGCGGGACGTGGAGCGCCGGGTTCGGGGTGTGTGTGTATGTATGTCTATGTCAACACGGGGGTTAGGCTGCGGCTCAGGGGTCACTTTTACCCGCTCTCTGCTCATTTTAGACGGCCACTAAGGCTGACACGGCTCCAACAGGTGCCACTGCTCCGGGGGTATCTTTTCAGGGCGCTCGGTCAGTTGTGTGACCGTGAGGAGGAGCTCCTGACGGGGCAGCTGGAGCAGGTGCGGTGTCGTGTCTCCACCTGGGGAATAGGTGATAGTCTTCACTGTCATATGGTACGTATGCCTGTGGAATATAAATTACATTACAAACTGCAGCTTAAACCTATGCGAATCACATCACATTAGGCCTATAAACAAGAACTGAGCCGAGTCAGCAGCTCAGCATTGGGTTTAATCGGTCTCATCTAAGTCTATTTTGGCCTGTCATCATAATTAGGCTCTGATATATGGCCAAGCCAATAACTGTTTGCTTGATTAGCTCACAACACCACAGGGCAGAGCTGACATTTCCAAATGAGTTTTGGCTGTGTGTGTGGCAGTGATATTACTCTGTTGTCATTATAAAATGAATGCACCTTTTATTTGAGACAGGCCGTTATGGCAGAAGAGTGAGCGTCGTCAAATCGAGACTTAGGCCTATTTTAAAGTGAACTCATGTTGTCCAAAGTATATTTAAACGATGATGTTTATACAGAGACAGATTCCATAATGACAATGGCGTCTGTCTCTGTATAAATGGAATGATCAACACTTACTAAAGAAGACTTATTCACATACATTTCACTAAAATTTTCAGACACTTTTTTGCATACTATTACGTAAAAACATAGGCCTTTCTATAATACGCATACATAGAGTGTAGTACGTGCATTAATTGTTGCCATAACAGAAGGTACACCTCATGGAGCCAACCGTGTAACTGTGGCCTGAGTGGGTTAGATTTATTTTAGCGTGTTTGGCTCTGTGTAGAGATAGATCTGTTCACAGTATCTTAGCCGGTTTCTTCTCTGTCCCATAGTTTTCTAAACTTAGAAAGGGCTCTTGTCTGCACAGAAGCTCAACCTAGTCCGGGGGTCTCGGTAGAAACACGGCACAGAAATATCACAATATCCACCAGCATAGGGTAAATAAGTTTCATTATTTATGCTCTGACTCATCAGACCTTATGTGCTCTTTCTGCTCTTTCTAAAGAAGTGGACTAAGTGAGTGTGACTTCACCTATAGCGTTCAGCTCCAGTTAAATGAAGCTCATTAAGGCTAGCAGTTATAGGGGCAAATTTAGAGCCAGGTCCATAATTAAGAATAGGAATGGAAGAAGAGAAGAACAGGAATTGCTTTACAGACAAAATAGCAAAATAAAACCACTAGGATGAACATTTTAAGACCGAAATGATGAGGCTCACTGCAGTCAGAGGAGTGACAATTTTTCAGTACAAAATGAATTGGATCCGGAGTCAGTGGAGCCAGAATCACACCCATGCTCACTTCCTATTTGCTATGTCCATTTATATATATATATACAGTCTATGGAATATACAGGTCAATTTGTGACTAGAATTATGACTACAGTTCTGAAGAGACCAGAAGAAATTAGGCGGAGAGACCTCTAACAGACTAGAGTCTATGTATAAGTCTCCTGACAGTGTTGTGTGGTGGAGTATATATGTGTTTAGACAACTGCTCTGTGAATGTTCCCACTGTTGTTAACACCTGTCAGCGGCTTGTGTGCACAAACTTTACTCAGGCTTTTGTCAGGACAAAATGGACTCTCCTCTAACTCTACAAAGGGGATGATAAAGAAATGAGTTAGAACAGAACCAAGACACACAAATCTGACTCGTGTGAATTTTTTGGATGGGGGCCTGTCACCTTCTTGTTTGTTTGAATGCCATTGCCTTTGGAATGTTCCACAGTATGACATTAAACAGCTCTGCCTTACATTTATTCAATTGCAGGGGGTTTTACTGCTGAAAAATATGTAGAAAAGCAGACCAAGTTACAGTTTCATCTCCATGAAGGTAGAAAGGTTTAATGCCATACTGTGAAACATTCCTGGCAAAGCAATAACATCACGGAGAAAGTGATTTGACGGACACTCCACCAGAAAAGTTACACAGTGCACCTTTAAGCCTTGTTAAAATGTTATTACCTCCTCAAAAACACAACTGGAGTTGTGTTTTGTTTCATTGCCTTTATTTTTTTTTTTATAACTTTGTTTAATTTCATTGCCTTTATTATTATTAGTCTGTTTACGTCTCCAAAGCTCAAAATGCTCTGGTCCACTTTGTGATGTCACGAAGCAGTAGTTTTCAAGTTAACATCTCACTTTTTACCTTTATTTCAGTAGAGATGGACAATTCCAGAGAGGAAATTATCCATATGATTCAGGTGAAGATGTATGGAGTCTAAAAATCTAGTGGAGCACTTGCTGTATTACGACAAAATGGAACAGTTTGAGAGAAGAAGTTTGTGTTTGTGTGTTAAACGTGTGAATGAAACAAAACACAGCTCCGGGTAAGTTTGTGATGTGGAAACAACATCAAAACATAGATCGGAAAATAGCATAATATGGGCCTTTTAAACAATTAGTAACCACTGACTGCGTGAATATCCTGTAATTCCTCGGTACAGTAGCGATCGCTGAACAATCCATCATACTCTGCCCTTTGGCTCAGGAAAACACTTGAGCTGTGACCTTTATTTTATCATCGCAAAGATAATGAGACTTATCCTGATTGGACGGAGGGGGCCCTGACTGCGAGCGGAGCGGGCCCGGGTAGAGGGGTGGGTGCAGCTCTAGAAGAATCCTGCCCGGTCTATATTAGCCCCGGTGAATCACAACGCGCCAGGCATACCAGGTGTCCGCTTTCATGCCATATAAGTCCACCACCCCCTCCCTCCTTACACCCCCTCCCCTCCCACTTCCCCCACAATGCCACACTGCTATCTCCTTCTATTCTTAGCCTGTCACTTCGGCGCTTCCAAGCAGGCAGGTCCCTTACTTTTGCTGATTTTTTGCAATTTTTTTTTTTGCATATTTGCTTACTTCCTTTATTTGATTTGTCTAGCTGCTGCCGGCGGTGTGATCTGAGTTTGAGTGAGTTATCTGTCCGGTCTGTAGAAGAAGAATGAGCTGCTACACAGTTTCGTTGCCAGGACCTGGGCCCTGGGGCTTCAGGCTACAGGGGGGAAAGGACTTCAATATGCCCCTCACTATCTCCAGGGTAAGTCCAGCAAGTCATAAGTGTGTCTGTGCTACCATTCAAAAGTTGTTGGTGTTCAAATAATACATCGATTCGAGAAGATGCTTCGTTTGAATGGATGAATGGTGCAGCTGACCTCATTTTAGCCCAACTGTCTCAGAATTAGGTTGTCAAAACTATAGAAAATCAGATACGAATCAGTAGTAAAACCACTATTCAAACCATTTACTCATTTGAGCAGGTATCAGTACTAAAATGTCACAATCAGAGGACAGAAATGATCCTTTCCTGAATAGCTTTAGAATGATCTAGAGCTGTATCAGGACCTCATAGAGTAGTATATGCCCATGGTCCACTCTGGAACCTACCTTGATCACTGAGGGATTACACAGATATAACACCACATGGGAATAGAAAAGAGTGTACCATGATTTAATGCTGAAAATCTCATTCTATTGTCTAAGTCACTGTGGTATCGGAATCGTTACTGAGTATCAAGTCTATTCCATAGTATCGAATTTGATATTTTAGTACTGTGGCAACACTACTACTTTTTAGGTATCCTTCTAAAAGTGATAGAACATAATTGGAAATGCCTTGGTCAAGGTTTTAAGTAAAAATGTGGATTGAAAAAAAAAATAACCACATGCTGAGATAACACTTTAATACCATGATTTGAAAGATTACAAGATTAGTGAGTTTTTGGCTCTTTGGAAGTGGTTCGTTTTTGCAGCCTGTTATTTCAAAAACCAAACTCTTGATTCTTATTTTTCATATTTCCCTATCAACAATTTGATATATATTTCCTCATCTCTATTATACTGTATTAAAGATGCAGTGTCATTTTATTGGACATAGCAATTACATTGGATTAGACCAGATGTATTGGTTTAAGAGTTTATAGCACAAGTGATCATTTTCAACACCTGTCTAAAAGGGGGCTTTCAAATGGGTTCAGAGTCCAGAAAAGAATGTTATAAACAGTTCAATCACAGTATACAAGTTCAATGGTAGTGCGATACAAGATGTTACATAATGTATTGGATTGGCTGCTAACATGTGAAATGGTTATCTACCTTTGAAACTTTAGTCAACATTTGATTTGAGTTACACAAAGCTTCTGCTGCTCGTTCTTCTCCCCACAGTGTATAGTGGGATTCTGTGTTTGTTATAGGACTGACACATGTACAGTATGGGATGGGCCCCTGTGTGTGGGTGTGGATGGCTGGCAGCAGGGGCAGCAGCCAGAGCCCTAAAAGAGGAGCAGGCTGCCTGGTGTATGTTTCACTGTCCTCTCTGTGAATAGACAGAGACTCAGTGGCCGCTCAGCTCTCTGTCCAAACTCAACAGAACCACAATTCAACCGCTGTGGCTGTTTGTGTTTGTGATCACTGTCATGTGCCAGAGGAGTAACAGCCCTGACAAACTTCACCTGTGTTTGTTTAGAACTGTTGACTTGAGTTTTACACATGTTTTATAACTGTGGAATATATCTTTCCGAAATCAAACATTTGTTGCATCCAGTTAAGAGAAAAGCACAGACATCTTCCCTCTCCACAAATGCACAAAGCGATTCATCTGCATCTTTTTCAAAAATGGTGTCGCCATGTTTGTTTTGGTTTCTTTGGTTGCTTCACCTTTGGCTCTGCTCCGAAACACAATGCTACTCTGTGATTGGTCTGTACCACCAGTGGCGCGTGTCAGGTGGATTCTTGTGAATTTATGATCATCATGTTAGCCAGGTTAACATGATTTACAGCGTCTTGGTCCTACAGTATGCTCAGATATCTGTTAAGACAGTGGAAGTTCTATGGTATTTTTCTGATAATGAACTTAATAACTTTGTATAAATACCTGGTTACAATCTTTCTGACAAGCATTGAAATGTACTTTTTTATCAGTAGAATGAATGTTTTATCAGCAGAATTCTATTCAAAGTTTACAGCACTGTAAGATGTGCTAATATCTGAGGGAAGACGTATGACATATGAACTCTTAAACAAGTATTGACTGGGTTGGCTACTATCTTGGCCAGGTCTCTCTTGAAAAAGGGATTCATAATGAGATTAGTGGAGTTTGTGGAAGGAATTAAATAATGCAGCCTCTGTGAATGACTATTTAAATTGTGCTTTCGATTTGCTTTTGCTATATCCTGCAGCCCAACTTAAGGCTCAGGCTAGAGGGATGAGTGGATAGTACTAAATGCTCACTCAATTGCTTTCAGAAAATGTATGTGGATTGTAGCTAGTTAGAATATAGAAGATGTGGCTTTGTTAATTGTTGAGTAGATTTTTAAATTTGTGAAGTTAGGACTAAATCTCATATTCAGATATATCCATAGACTATATATAAATGGACATAGCTGAACTGCTAGGTGCTGCGTTCCAAACAGGAAGCGAACACGGGCACGCTTCTGGCTCCATTAACTTTGACTCCAGTACACTTTATATTGAGAAACCCTGGCCCATCTCTCTGTAACTGTTCCAGTGAGCCTTGTCATTTTGGTCTTAAAATGTTCGTATTAACCCGCTCTACATGATCCTGGTATTTTTATTTTGCCATTTTGTCTGTAAATCAATTCCTATTCCTAATATGGAACTGGCTCCAAATTTGCCCCTATAACTGTTAGCCTCATGAGCTTTGTTTGATTGGAGCTGAACACTATGGGTGATGTCACACTCACTTCACAGTCCACTTCTTTATACTGTCTATGGATATATCTCACCATGCCAGTTGAACAGTGTTATCCCTCTGAAAATAGCCCAGAAAGTAAAGGTTCCTCTGACGTGTGCTGGAAACATTTGCGAGCTGATATAGAGACACTGTTTGCTGACATTAAATCTGGACAAAGCGCTACCATTGATTTCCATCTGCAGTTATCAATACCTCTGTTTAGTCTTGTCTGGTATGGACTTTGCTTTTGTCTCATTTTAAAGGCCACTGTCTGTCATTGTAACGCCTCATTCCAAATACAGCTATTAGACTTTCCCATCTATTTGAAGAATTAGCAGTGTCCAATATAGTTAAGTCTGCAAAGCCATTGGAAGCATTTGCCGCTCATTGTTTGTATTGGTCACATAGCTGATAAGAGCATTTGAAGTCTACAGTGAGACAGACTGATGCAGCTGGAACACATAAGGTCCTGTCAATCATGGATGGTGCTTTCCCTGCTCTACATCCTCATACAATCCTGTACAGCTGATGGTACAATGGATAATTCTGTGTCACTGTTTGACACTTTTACTCTTCATATTTGAGCCCAAATTCGTTTCTCTTATGTCATAATATATGTTGTTTTAAGGGAACCCAAATCGAGCGTGCATATATGTCCCCATAGTTCAACACAGAGGAAGGAAAATGCAGCAACAAGTCTTATTTCTGAAGTCAAAACTCAATTTAAAGCACAGCTTTTTGACTAGGGAGTCTATGTGAGGTTTAATGGTGTAACAACCAACAGAACATTCAGCTTGCTCTTACTTCAGAACAGCCTCAACTTAGTTTTGTTTGCATTAAGAGAACGTTTCAGGTAAGAAAAGTTGTATCAAACAACAGTTAAAGCATTTTATATATTGTCACTGGCTTCAGTGATTGAAGATGTAAGAACAGCTGATCATCGTGTACGTAATGACAAAAAATGGGCCTAGTGTAGACCCTTGGGGCACACTTTTGAGTAAATTACATAAATCACAATCTTTCTTCAATTGCAATGCTTTTCAGATTAAGAATCTCCCTGTAAAACTTTTGATAACACAAACAACAATAAACCAAGATTATTTAGCTGGCACTATATGTTGCTAAGGTTTAGCTCCTATAGGTGGAGAACATGCATATGTTGAGGAGACACAGCAGTCCAGAGTCCTCTGTGATGGCAGTGCAGAGTTTGTTGGACAGTGTGAGACCTCTTAGTGCTCTCTGCTCAGGGTCTGTGTGGCATACCTGTGACTCTGTGAGCTGGAGCAGGAACACTGGTGCTGACTGTCTATCAGGCTTTTTACAGGCTCCCATAAAACACTGAGATGTCTACACCTGAATGAATCTCCAAATATGTACTTCTACAATGATCGCATTCTTGCCTGGCTAGCCAGGCCCTTTTTCTGTTTGAATCCAGAAGAGTCTGGAATTGGACCAGAGTCTGAAAAACCACTGTTTTGTGTGTCTGTCTCTCTCAAATGCGGAAGACATCTCTTGAAAAGTCTCCTGTCTTTTTGAACAAAATACAGTATATAACTTTTTTTTTTTAACCTGAGATAAATAGAAATTTGGTGCTTCTGTCAGGAAACCTGAGATCACTCCTCCTCCTCTGTGTAACTGTGAATACTCATATGACTGATGATGTATTCTTTGGATGTGTATATTAGCGCTCTTTGCAGGGACATTCAGTGCTCACTGGTTTGTCTTTCCTCATGTGAGTTCTAGCAGTTTTGTAACAACAAATCTGTATGGCTGATTTATAAGATGTAAAATCAAATTATGAAGCATTGGAAATGGAATACAATTTGGTTTTGGTGATTTTTTGTGTGATGCTGCTTCTTTTAAACACAGTGCATTTATTTCAAGGACTGACAGATGCAGAGTAAACCAGTCAGAAGCTGTTAAGCTTTGCATGCTGGGTAAATGTTCTGGTCAGAATAATCTGAGGTGGTCAAACCTTTATGGAGCAACACCAGTTGATGTTTTGTCCTCTTATTGAAGACTCATGTGGGTGCTTAGTCTTCTCCTGTCAGGCCCTGTCTGGCCCTGTCAGGCCCCACTGGACTCTCTGTGGGCTCTTCCGGACTGGGGCCCTGCTGATGTACAGTTGGTTTTACAGTTGGCCAAGTGAAAGCTGAGCGCTCTAACACAGAGCTGACTCAGCTCAGGAGCTGCTGAGGCTGCTGGATCTTGTTTCTGATGGGGAATCCATGTCTCCTGTTTACACCCTCATGGATAACTTTAGCTTTTCTCATTTCTAATGTCAATACTTAGCCTAGGACATTTCTATTTCTGGCTGCATCATTGATGACACTTTGTTCCATAGCAAT